AGGGGGGGGGGGGGGGGGGGGGAGTTGTCTGCCAATGTCAGAGAAAGGGAGAGAGAATTGGGGGTACAGAAGGAAGAAGGTGATAGAACAGAGAGGTGTACAGAGGGGATCACTGGTGTGGCGAAGGCCGGGAAAGTGATTATGCTGAGCCAAACTGCTTGCTGCTGATCCCCCCCCCATGCAGTAGGCTAGATCCAGTCAATTTGGGGCCACAGGCTGAGCGCTGCTCTTCTAGTTTGTGTGTTCATTTGCAGTGATTGACCCTCCATGTTAGGCATGCAGTCCCGAATTCATGTTTTATGTAATTTCTGCAGCTATACCAAAATTTTAGCATTGACATTTTATTTCCGTTTAACTTGGAATTCTAATGTCACATGCATTTTAATATCTGTAACTTGTTCCTTGGATTCCTCTCTCTTGAACTACCAGAGTACACACCACTGTCAGTCTGAGAATGAGCCCCATTTTCCTTGTTTGAATAAATGGCTCATGTAATTGCTTCTTCACACTATCTCCTGGTTTCTGCAGCTAAGCCTCATTAATATGACATTGTGATGCAGAAAATCCGCAACAGACTACGTATGGAAGCCATTTCTCATGGTAATAATGGATTTCCAAGATTTCTGTACAAAATGTTTTTTTTTCTTTGTCCTTCATTATCTCAAGGTGTAATTGGTGTTCCCATTGCATTTTGAGTTTTATTGGAGTACGGTAATATTTTTTCTTTACAAAGTTGAACTTTTTTTCTGAAAGCAGACAGATTTCCTTTACCTGCACAGGTATATCTACATCAGTGCTTAAACTGTTATGAATAACTTGATTATGTGGGAGAATGTTATGTACTTCACATTGAAACCCTCATTTAGACTGCCATTTGATATTTTGGCCTTGAGATTAAAGCCTGCTGCAAGTCGGATATTAATTACAGCTTGCTTTATCCAAGTTTGGTACCTAGTTTGGGATATACAAGCTAAGAGGGAGTAAGAAGGAGAAATTTTAAGCACATAACTATCAGTTTTCATAATTACATTTGCTTTATGCTACAGTACAGTTTTCTCTAATCTCTTTTTGGTTATTAAACAGAAAAAGACCTATCAGTGCATCAAGTGCCAGATGACCTTTGAGAATGAAAGAGAGATACAAATCCATGTCGCTAACCATATGATTGGTAAGAAATTATTTAAACCAGGCTACTCACGGGCTACTTGTTTCTTGTTACTCTTTGACATTCACTATTTTAATTGATTGTTAATATTCATGCTGTTACATTTTTTTAACGTTCAAGGCAAATTATTTAGATGTAATGACTCTTCACTTCAAAGCTTTTTAAATGTGTGGTTACAGAAGTGTTATAGCTGAGCTTTTTCCCACCCTTTTGAATCCTCTTGTACCATTTTCACTTATATTAAAATCAAACTTTTGACAATGTCTTCCATTTTATAGAATAAATTTCCCTCAATCTGTGTAAAAAGTACTTGCCAGTTGTCAGCCACTTAGGAGCAATTATGATTCAATTTTGCATGTCATGACATTGAATAGATTTAACTGCTCACATTTTCCCAGCTATATGTAGTGAATTCCTGAGGCACATTGTCAAAACAAAATGCTTAAAAAGTTATTTCAGTGCTTTCCTTTTTTCAAGCTGTTCTGGACTTTAGAAAGTTCAACTTTTCAGATGTTCAAATGTTTTAAAAAGCAATGCCTTGCTGCTTTCTAGCACAGTTCTAGCATAACAATCTGCAGTAAAGTGTTATTGTAATCTGAAGGGTTGTATTTCTGTTGCAGCTGTATGATTGCTTTTCTCACAAATGCAAGGAACTATTTTTCCTATCTGTACAGATGTTATAAATAGATGTGATGGCCCCTGAGGTCAGTTTATTTTGATGCATAGACCACAGAAGAGTTTCTTACACATGTCATTCTAAGCATATGTTGTATGAGATCCTTTAAGGGCCCTACAGTGCACTCCACATGTCTCATATGTTCATATGCAGCATTTATCTCTGAAAAACATGGATCTTCTTAGTTTAATGGTTATCCTTGAACATTTTTACATTTAGGAAACTGTTCTCTTATATATAGCTGCATAATACTTTTATTATCTTTACATTGATGTATGCACAAATATCAAAAGGAGAATTATAGACTGACACAAAGACTTTAAAAAGTCTCTACAAATGAAGAACATACAATCAATCAAATGATTTCCATAGTAATGCTAAGCAGGTGTTTCAAGTCAGTGTCAGGTAGGTTTAGATGAAGATACCTAAAAATATTTGCTTTTTTAGCAGGTGTTAATATAATCTCTTGTTTGCAGGCTTGGAGGGTGAGATCCTTGTTAATTCAACCATAGTTATTTCAAAGTTTCCCCAGCCCTATTAAGAAACTTGAAAGAGAGAAGTATCTCTAGGCAAGTTGATATGAGCCTTTAACTTAAGCTGTGAAACAGAGCTGGGTAATCAGTGATCTCTAACTAAGTAGTTTGTGAGATTTTGATATTAATATCCTGTTTGATCACAGACACAAATTATTTTGTTCCTTTGGAAGTAAGTCACTTCCTTCAAAGATGTATGTGTACATACATACACAATCTTCATATATTAATTATTGAATCACTAGGTACTCGCTGTTTGCAGTTATACTAGATAATATATATGATAAAGTGGCAAATCCTATACCAGAAACATTGGGAACCATGGTTGTAGTAGAAGACTACTGAGAACTCAGAAAAATGTGGTGTCTCCTTTTGTGAGAATTGCAAGTGTTAGTTCCCCAGAGTTTTAAATATATGTAGGTTACAATGCAAAATTCAGAAACCTGTAGAGAATAATAGGTGGATGATGGCTCCATTATGGATAGTGGATTTATCTTGTGACAAGCGCTAGATCATGCCAAGACACAATTTCATTTTACCTGAATGGATCACATCCTTGAGAAAATCATGGACTTGGAGAAATGACATTTCTTAACTTTCTTTACATGAGGTTTTTGGGACATCAGAAGGGCAACTCTGGGAAATCAAGCTTCTTCTCTTGACCTATAGACTCTGAACAACCCCATGGGAGTCTGACTCTATCTTCCTGAGGAGGCATGACTGCCTTAGAAAGTGTGCTGTTAGTGAGTTCCCCCCTGGCATTTTGCATTTTGCTGAATGATATTTAAGATGAGGAATTGCAGGTCATTAGCCAATAACTCCTGGTTTTCAGTGCCAATTGTGTATTGAAGTAGCTGCTCTTCTGATCTGCTTCTAAACCCTAAAACCCAAAGCCAAGTAGCCATACTATTGCAATTAATTTTGTTTACTTCTAGATGCCACAGATGAAGTAGGCATATTTCTCTTCATGAGTAAGAATGCCTTACTTTCTTATAAGTAATGCATGTGAGAATTTAATTTCTTCAACACTGGTCCAAATTGGCAGTGTCAGAAAATAGCTTGTGTCTGATAGCTGTTCAGAAGCCTGCAAGAAGCATGTTGGAGATTTTTTGGAAATCCTAGGGGACCCAAATCCATATGGCAAAAACCACCAGCATGATTGTTTAGTCTAGTTTGAGGACTTTAAATCAGTGTTGAGAGTTAGCTAACAGTCAGGACTGAGGCATACTAGTGCAGCAGTATGTCAGGCAAGCTTGTACTGCTGCTCACTTCACTGCATCTGGTCAATGGCTTAATCATCAGATTTGTCAGTCCAACACCTTTCAGCGACACTAATTTTCTTTCCTTTTGCACCCGAGCACACGCCAAATAAGTGCATGAAAAATGGCTTCCTACAAGCAGCTAAGCAGAGGTGTTCTTTTGCAAATAGCTGTCAACAGTGTGATTCTTACTTTGAGACATGACATCTCTTAAATATCTGCATCTATAGAATGATTAAAGAATTATGTTATTATGTTTTACATCCTAGTTTTAAACAGTGCCAAATATTGCATCCAGTTGACTTGGCTGCATGTCTCTCCTCAACCTTTTGGCTGTACAGTCTGGAGTTAGAGGCCCTTCTTGTAATGCACTGGGGAAGACATTTCAGAGTAGTATGCAGGGAATTTTCAATGCTACTCCTACACAGTTTTGAAAAATTACTATTCTGCACTCTAGCACTTCATCTTTTGTAGACAAACATAGAAGTATATTGGGTCCTATACAGAGACCCTAGAGATTGAACAGACTAGATGCGACCCTGGAGGAGGTAGAAGGTGAGTGGTTTGTTTTATTTTAACTGGGGCCTGTTGGAAAGCTTTTAGTAGCAAAAGAGGCCTCTTTAGTCATGGTTACTCAGAAGGAATCTGTTTAGCAGTGTTTTCAGCCAGGCTTTTTGGGGTGGAATTTTTAGAGAACAGAAGGTCTTTGAAACACTCCACTGATTGGGGATCCTTTGAAATGTTTTCATCGACAAGGAAGGGGATCCCTCTTTGAAACATGTGCAGGCATTGGGGAGTCCACCCAGGAGTATATCAAAAACTTTCAGTAGTTCTTGCTGCCTCTGTACTGCTTACCTCCTATTGTGCTGACCTGACAATGTTTAAAGTGTTTCCCCCTTATCCCCCACCGACCATTGCCTGTGATGTTCAGTCTTGCTAGATGCCTGGGAGGATGGGCATGCTCAGCCGCTGGCTCTATGGGGGGGAGGAAGTGAACAGCCATGTCAGCAGCAGAAATCACAAAAGCCTCTTAATAGATCTTTCTCCTGTGGTTGAGGGAGCAATGGGGCACTTGAATAATCAATAATTTGGCCTCTCATAAATCCTTGCCTCATGTTCATGACAAAATATTCCACCTCCTGGAGTTCTATGGTATGTTCTATTTAAGTAGTTTTAAATGTCACTTCATTTTGTCTTATAAATTAATGTAAACATTTCAAACATACCATACATAGAGGAGGACACACTTGGAGAAGTGTCAAACAACTGTAGTGCTCAGCACCTCTGTGGGTTTCTCCCAGTGTATTCATTCATTTGTTTTTTGCTACTTTGTGATGAAGTGTGTTCAGCCAATGCAGTGGGCACCATTGCCCACTTTTTCAATGCAGTGGGCACCATTGCCATCTTTTTCAGTGCATCCTCATGAATATACAGACCTATCAGGATATTCTAGTGACATAAAAGGTCTTGATTAAAGCTCTAATTCTGTTTGATTTAGGTCAAGGGTCTTTTCCATTTAATGTTCAAGAATTTTTTCCCCAGTGCTTTCAAGAAAAAAATAACTAACTGTCTCTACCCTTCTCTGTGAGAGAGTCTCCTGGCAAACATGCACTAATACTGGAATAAATTTATGAAAACTCCAGTATCATCTTCCAGAGTCTACTGGGTCAGTATGTGGGCTTCAAAGCTTCTCCCTGTACATGCTATCCATGTCAGCCACTTCACAGTTGAGTGTTCCTACCATTTCTTTTTGTACATATGATGTGGTGAACTGAAGCATGTTCTAATGGTGTTGTTGAATTCAGGTAACAGGATCTGAGACATCTGAATAACCTTTACGTATATAATAAGATGCCTATATAGTTATCAGAAATAAGAACAAATAATTCAATGAACTTCAGAGACCAAACCCAAAGAAAGAGGATAATAAATAGAAAAAGATAGCAGCTCAGAAAACTGTTTGCACTTGAAGAAGTTATTAATTGTGAGATAAATATATCACAGAGATAACATCAATAGGGTGGGGAAAGGATTTGAAAGAGTGCTGTCAAAAGTGAAACATAAGTAACGTAATCAAAATTCTGTATCTAACCACCTTCTGGAGCATGAAACTCCTTATTTAATATTCTGGCTAACAGCTTGATCTTTCATTTTATTTAGCAGATCGTGGTTTTCCTAGATACAACTAATAACATAATTGTCTTACCCGTGTGCTATATGTATTTAAATATTGGGATTTTGTAATGTTGTCCATCACTCCCGTATCTGAATGAATATATTCTTTGTTAATATTAAACGGATGTAGCTGCAAATCTGCAGCATTTATAAAGCTGAAATTATTGGCCTTGGAATCTCCCTTTAGGTTAGAAAGGTATTTGGACAGTTAGGACTTGACTCTGAAAAGTACTGTGAGCTCTCAAATCTCATCAACTTGTGATTTGAGGATGGGTAAGACATCTCCGGATTGGACTCTTAATTAAATATTCTTTGTTTTATACTAAATAGTAGGACTGTGTGAAGCTTTGGTCGCTAATT